CGTTCCTTTCTGTTCTATTATTAGCTTTAATGCCTGGACTCATCTGAGAAAGGAGTCCAACTGAAAGATTAGACTGCCCAGATGAGACTGGCCTGTGGGGGACTGTCTTGACTGTTAGCAGATGTAGGAGGGTCCAATCTGTGGGTGGCGCCATTCCCTGAGCAGGAGGTCCCAGCTGTTTATGAAACTAAGTATAAGTCTGCAAAGGACCCAGCAAACAGTGTTCTTCCATGGTTCCTGTTTCTGAGTTCTTGTCCATGATGGACTAGCACCTATAAGCTGAAATAAACGCTTCCTGCCCTAAATCCCCTTGGTCAGTGTTCTACCACAGGGACAGAGAGCAAACTAGAAAACCCACCCACAAAGCCTCGCAGGCCTGCCTGTCCATCCACCACCAAGCCCGCGCCCCTCTCTGCATGGCACCTCAGGAAGGTTTGATTCCTGCAGCAGAGTCCTGCACAGCTTTGTGTATAGTGTCCCAGTAACTGCTCTAAGACGTCAGTTTCCCACGCCTCCAATACAGGGAGAACGCTCTGTAAACGGCTTGGGGGATGGAGCGACATGGGCAGGAAAAGGTCGCCTGAGGGAAGCAGGGTTAACTGGCCACAGAAGGGATCAGAAGCAGACATGGGCAGTGTGGAGGACAGACCCAGAGGGGAAGCCAAGGGAAACGGCTTGCCTGACTGAGGGTCTGGCGTGGAGACCCAGCCGGCTTGGCCACCTTAAACAACAGTGCACTGGTTAGTATTTATTTTCGACTTGGCACAAACTCGACTGAGGACTGCTCAGATCAGAGCTCTAAGAAACAGGTCAGTGGCGGAAAATGAAAGGACACTCAGTGTGACCTCAAAATAACGACAGCACACTGTGGCCTTTACTGGCCTGAGAGACAGGTGCCCAAACCCTGCAGGTCGGCCTCTGAGGGTCCAGGAAAACACGCCCATCACACAGGGTGTGAGAATCAGCTTTTGTAGTGGAGAATAGGGACAGAAACTTTTTTTTTCTAGATAAACTGTTTTTGAAACTGTAGGGAAGAAGTCAGACTTCCTGCTTCTAAGACCTAGGGCTCCAGGGTAATTCTCTGGAACTCCATGGGCTGCAGGTTTCTTGAGCCATGGGCCCATTTTATGGCCCTGGTTTTGAGGTGGGGATTTCCTTTAAGATTGGCTGGTGGGCATGTTTGTTTGTCGGGCACTAGCTTACTGGTAGTTGATTTAGAAGCCCACTGTGGGCAGCACCATCCCTAGGCAGGTGGGCCTGTGTTGAAGAGAAAACTAGCTGAGCCTGAACCGGGGAACAAGCGGAAGGCAGCAGGTGGTGCTCCGCCTCGGTTTCTGCTTTACACCTCCTGCCTTGGTTTCCCTCAGTGTTAGACTGTAATCTGAAGTCAAACAAATCCTTTCTTCCTCTTTTGGTCATGGTGTTCTTCACAACAGAAACCAAACTAGAACAAGCAAGGGTCACTGGGGAGGGAGGATGTTTCTGTGACGTGTGCCAGTGTGCTGAGATTCGAGATAGACCAGGACTCAAGACCTGACCGGTTTTCACTAGTTGTGTAACTTCAGGTGAAGTAAGTAACTTTTTTGAATTACAACTTCCATCTTTATAAAGTGAAACACTTCCAAGGGTGGTTAGATGACCACCTGAGACAGCAGCAAACCCAAGTCCTCAGCAGAGGCAGGAAGGGGATGGTGGGAGACGTTTTCAGAGGAGGAGTATTTCAGCTGTTTCTGAAGGAAGGAGGAGCTGTGTGGAGGAGGAGGCAGCAAAGGATGCATTTGCAGCACTCAGCGTCTCTGCTGGATGAAAGGCAAGGCCTGATGGCAAATGCGGAAGCCACTGGCCCTCTGGGATCTTTCTGCAAACAGAGCAGCACCCCTAATGGTCAGATCTGCCACCTACAGTAGTAGTACTTGAACCTTGGAGGTGGAACTTCCCAGGATTCTAAGGCAAGTGCAGCAGGGATCAGGATGGATGCAGTATTGCTCCCAGGTGTTGCTAGTCACCCGGAGAGGAAGCAGTGCAGGCAAATGAGAAAGCAGATGAGGCACGCCCCTTCTTCCCTCTCGTCCTAGAGACTACTGCCACTCTCTGGCCCTGGGATCAGAGGCCTTGGAGTGTGTGTGTGTGTGTGTGTGTGTGGGGGGGGGGGTGTCAGGCTCCTTTCCCTGCAGACTTTTGATGAGCTCAGACACAAGGTTTTGGAGGACTTGGAAATCCACTGCAGAGCTGCTGAGCCGGAAGCCAACAGCCAGATGCTTGGGCTCTGAGAAGATAAATGTCACTGGCTGGCTGTGCTCAGAACCCCAGAGGTTTGGGTACCTCCCCAGGGCCACCTGCCTGGGTACATCCATTCAGATGCTGCTTGCTTCCTAAGCACAGCAGTCCCAGGAGGCCCTTCTCATGGGCCAAAGCAGTTCCTGGCTGCCTAACTGGTGCTCAGCCTCCTGAGAACAGCCGCTCTGTGAAGGAGCTCACTGAAGGGAGTCAGGGGAAAAGCAGGGACTGCACCCACTTTCCCCAGCCTTCTGCTAAGAGGCCCCAGCTAAGACTCGTCAATCTCTGGTCCTTGTCTTGTCCAACACCTCCCCTTCTCTTCCACCCTCGTTTGCCACAGGTACCATCACTGCCCTAAAACAAGTCTCTCAGAGTGCCGTCCACTAAGCCCAGATGCTGTGTCCAGGGTTAAGCTGCAGCTTCATACTTAGGGCCTTCTAATCAGCCTGTGAGGCAGTGACACTGTCCCTATTTTACAGAGGGGACTGAGGCATAAGAGGCCGTCTGGGCAGGTCAGTGAGTGTCTGATCTCGAAAGCTTTCACTAGCGACACCATCTTTTCTTTCCACGGATGTGGTCAGTCACCCTCCTACAGGAATGCAGTTTCTTCTCCCGTGGACTGCATTGCTGTCTCCTATTGTCTGCTGCTCTCCCTGCCCAAGACAAGCACTGTACACCCTCTCCACTGCCTGGTAGCCCGAGGAGCTCCTCATGAGAGGAGCACCATGTCCTGCAGGGCCAGGCTCGACAACGGGATGTATTTCTGCCAAAAGAACACGAGTAGATGAGACGTGAGTACTTCAGACCAGAACCACCCAGCCTGGCCACCTTTTCACTCTCTCCACCCTAAGGACAATGTGCCCCAAAGGGGATGCTCTCAGCTGCAGCTGACACACGAGCGAGGAGAGCAAACAACAGAAGTAAGTGTTTGTTGTAAGCCAAGAGGACTTCAGGGATGTCAGCACACTCGTTCTGCCAGTACAGCAAAGCAGGAGGCAAGGAGCTCGTGCCAGAGACTGGGGTAGGTGCACATCTTCAGGAAGGACACGGATGCTTAGTCCAGGTCAAAAGGTTCCACACTGGGTTCCAGAGCTGAAGATTCTACTTACCCTGTCCATAAGGTCCAGGCTGCTGGGCACCATAGGAACTTGGAGGTGGCTGACCGTAGGGGCCCCCTGGGGGGACACCACCATATGGTCCACTCGGAGTTCCAGAGGGGAGTCCCCCAGCACTGGGGTATCCATATGGCCCTCCAGGGGCAGGACCTCCGTAACCACCACCAGGGGGGAATCCACTGCCATACTGGCCCCCACCATGGGGAGGTCCAGGGTAGTAGCCACCTGGAGGTGCTCCAGGTGCCTGTCCTGCAGCTCCGGGGCAATTCTGCAGGAAGAAGAGGGACGTCAGGGTGGTGAAGGAGGCCACAGCACTTTACAGCTACTGAGCACCTGCACTGCGGTTCTCATGTCTGACCCCACAGGTGAGGCTGAACTTGCGGCACTGCCCAGGTGGCCTTCAGGCTCTAGGGAAGCTACCACTTACCCACGGAGACTCCTCCTCCTTCCTGCACATCTAAGGCCTTACAGGGCCTGGGGTCATGTCTAGCTTGCAGTTTTATCCCTAACTTCCAACAGACAATGGAAGCTCAGAAAATATATTATATGAAGAGGCAAGTGAACCCAATGGAATGCTCGCCCTTCGGGACCTCATCGGCCACCAGTGATGCAGCCCCAGCACAGAGCCTCCACAGCAGCTCTTCCTTCCTTACACTAGCTCATGATGCAGGAATAGTCCCTAATCTCACGACTTTGAGGCAGGCGGGGACAAAAACCAAACACCACAGTTCAGGTTTGTCACCCGCTAACTCATGTCAGCAATGCACGAAGGAAGGAGAAAGAACTTCCTCCCGAATTAGTCTGACCAAGAGCCAACCCAAATACGAATCCTCCACTCCTCTCCCTCTGCTGTTTGCCTGGCCATAACGAACAGTTAGTGCATTAGAAGCAGGATGTGTACTTGTTAGAGAAAAGACCTGTAAGGTAGTAATGGAATCCTATAGTCATTACAGGAGGGAATGAAGGCGTTTTGTTCCAAAAAAAAAAAAAAAAAAAAACAAGCCAAAGCTGTTTGCCATTCTTCTGAGGTTTGCAAAAGGAAGTTGAAATATTTTGAGATCTAAAAGGATTAAAAAAAAAAGGTTGCTGGGTGGTGGTGGTGACACCTTTAATCCTGGCACTTGAGAGGCAGAGTCTAAGGCCAGCCTGGTCTACAGAGTGAGGACAGCCAGGGCTACACAGAGAAGCCCTGTCTTGAAAAACAAAACAACAACAAAAATCAGGGTCTTGTCCATTGAGTCTGTCCAGTAAGTTGGGCAGTGCTGGTGAATAAGAGTCACTGTTGGTTTGGAATTAAAACAAACAAAAAGTTTTAGGTTTATTATAACATGGCTGAAAGGGGAATGAATGGAGGTTACAAGAGAAAGAGAAGTGTTCAAGACAAACAGAGGGGTAAACCCAAGCATCTTTGCGATGAAACAGCTGTCTTGTTCCAGGGCTCAAGCCACTTGTAATGTAAAGACATTAACAAAGGAGGTGAGTTCAAGACCTGTGAGGGAGACAGAAGGATGGGAAAGCCACTTTGGGAATTCCCAAGGAAAGCCAACGCAGACTGATGTTGCCCAAGAGCTAATGAAAAGAATTTAACATTTCTCTTTTTGGGAGCAGACCACTGCAATCAGCAAGGTGTAATGGAAGAATAATGGACAATATAGAGACAGATGCATGGAGCATCCAGCAGAACTCTGCTGGGGCAAGCACTGAATGGAAAAAGGTTTGTATTGAAGTGTGTATGTCTTTAAAACAGTTAGATATACTTTAGAAGAGGCTAATAGGATCCATATAGTGAAATATGTAATAGGTACCAGAAAATTTTTGTCTAATAAGAGTGTATCACCCTTTTAGCGGTAGTACTGTATACCCACCCTGGCAGCGGGAAGTGAGATACAGGTGCCTACTTATTGACAGGAGACACTGAAAACGCAATTCTTGAGCATCAGGGTGTAATGGAATAGTAAAAAAGGCAGCGTTTTAAATCAATAACTATAACATAATAGTTTTGAGGGACGGTGGTGGGAGAGGGAACTCCAGGCTGGAGGCTCCACAGCATGGAGAACATGGCACAGCCTCCAGTTAGCAGAGTTCCGGGAAGACAGACGGTAGATAGCAGCACTGAACAGGGGTTCTACATCGTCTGGCTGGAGCTGTTCTCGGATTAACTGACATAATTGTGTAAGTTTGTCCCCAGTCAAGGGGGCCTCTGATCCAAGAAAGTTTGGGCAGGTGTTTCTCATGGCCCTGAGGGAAAAGGATGTTCAGGAGCTGTCACAGCCCCACTGAGACAGGGGGTCTCTACCCCAAGGGAGAAAAATAAGGGTAAAACGAAGGGTGGAAAATGGCTGTTTGATTGCAGATAAGGTTTCTGTACTTACAAAAGCAGGGGATTACTTTTGTCACCAACTCCTTGAATGTCTGAAACTGGGGACTCAATGTGCCAATTAGAAGGCCGGGATTATTTGGCTATAATGGAAACACCAGCTGCTGTGTCTCTAATGCCCTTCATGGGAATCTGGTTGATAGAAACACCAAGTCCAGTGCGTTCTGTGGAATCAAATTCTTGTTTACCCCATTATCAGGGTCTATGGTGTTGGATAAAGATTAATAATCAATTCTGTCAATTGAATTAGAGCTGGAATTTCTCAAAGCAGCTGGAAATAAACTATAATGTAAATTTGACTAATACAATCAGAATCAGTGACATCTGGAGGAAAAATAATCTGGGCAAACAAAGCTTCTATAGTCCAGTCTGATTTACCTAAAATCAAGTCAAAACAGTCATAGGAAGTGGTTCCTACACATCTGTGGGGGCCTCTTCACCTCTCCTATCACATCTAATCTTATACCCTTAATTACAGATAAATCTAATATAGAATTACCTTTAGTAATCAAACCTCCTAATGTCTTAGGTTTGGAATGGATCTGGATGGTGTGTGGCAGAGGCACATGGTGTGGAATCTGTGGTTCCAGGCTGTGCTTCTGCAGAGGCAGCACGGGGCCAGGACACTGGAACCACAGGCAGGGACCAAAGGGGGTTTGCTGGTATCAAGCCACCCTCAGCACTCATTCCTGTTTTCCCCAAACTGGACTGCCTTCACTATCAACTCCAGATGGACACTGACTAGTCCAGCAAAACCATCTTTACATTCAGCGTATATTTTAGAAAGGGAGTTTACCATACTAAAGTCTATGAATAAGTTGTATTTATACTGCTTTTGGAAATGGCTTCTTTTCCCACATTTGAAACAGAGAGAGCCACAAGGCTGCTGGCAGAATCTGAGCCTTCAGCTCCTCTGTGCCAATGCTTTGGTGGGCCTTTATTGATCAGCATAGTATGAGAAGGATTAATTAGCACTACAGTTGATGGGGTTTTTGCAATGAGATTTGCATTTTTGTGAGCTAATGAAAGGTAAAGTGGTAGCAGCTTCTTTATTATCCGCTTTTCACAGCTTGTTGTGTAGACAACCGAAAGAGTCCATAAAGGGCTCTGTAGACTTTTGTCTGATGGTAGAAAAGGACCCCAAGGAAGTATTAGGATCAGCAACTTTGGTCCCAGCCCTTGTAGTTGCTGAGGCTAGCAAGCAGCTGAGCCTGGGTTTCAAAGTCTCCTTGTCTGATTAATTGATCATAATTAACATTTATGAGGGGCTGCTGCCTCTGGTTGTGAGCAGCAATGGAGGCATTTGTCCATCCACTCTGAAGGCCACATTAGCAGTGGTGAGAACTGCTTTTATAAGAGCTTGTATTCAAAAGGTATCACTTCATATGTATTTTCAGTAACATTATTATTCCGCTAGTAAAATGGTTTGAACCTCATTCTCTGTAACACCCTTTGTGAGATCTTTGTACATGGCAAAAGGAGCTCTTCTCTGGCAGCGCCAGGTCCCACTTCTCTAATAAATGGAAATGCAGTCACTGGCTCTCCTGCCCGAGAAGCTTCTTTAAGGCCACTTTATGGATGGGAACAATTTATTTATTTTGTTTTGTTTTCTCAAGACTCAGAGAACCACCAGCCTCTGCCTCCCAAACACTGGGAGTAAAGGCCTGCACCACCACTGCCTAGCAAGTACAAGGAAGCAACTCCAGCTGGAGTGATTTGACAAGAGCCAGCCCACATGACTTCTCCACTTGTCCGGGGTCTTCTGCTGGACTCTACCAAAGGTCTTAGCCCTGCATTTACTAAACAGCACAGAAAAACGGCATAGGACAGGAATGAAGGACACTTCATTTTCTGGGGGGAGGGGTTCAAGATAGGGCTTCTCTGTGTAGCCTTGGCTGTTCTAGAACTCATTCTACAGACCAGGATGGCTTCAAACTCAGGGATCCACCTGCCCCTACCTTCCATGTGCTTGGGATTAAAGGCGTGAGCCACCAATGGCTCGTAAGGGACAATTCTCTACAGAAATCTTTAGCAGAGTTTTACAAAGAAAGAAGTTACTTTGCTGAGCCAGAACAGTGCTCAAAGCCTCACACAGGTGTTGACCGCTTTCACTAAAAGACTAACACACACACACACACACACACACACACACACACACACACACACACTGTTCTGGGTCAGCGGCATAGGAGAATATAGAATACATAACTTAAGAGTAAAGCTCTGCATTTAGCTTAGCACGGGTTGTAAAAGTTGATGGAGAATCCAAGGCCAGTAAGGTTGGTTCCACTGCTGTTCTCTTAAAGGCAGGATAAACTACATAGTAGACAGCAGATCGGGTACAGTCTTCATGGATCTCAGGCACATTAACTTCTGCTGCTAAGTCTGGGAAAAGTTCAGTCTCTCTGAATGAAAGAGGTATTTTCAAAAATGTCCACCACACTAACTGAATTAATAGCTCACCCGCACAAAGCCTCAGGTTCCTTAGGTAAGAGCTCCTCACACTGCCTGCTGTATGAATGGAATCAGGCTCATCACACAAAGCCTTAAGGATGAGAACTTGATACACAGTAACTATTAACGACAGTGCCCCTCTACAGAGGAGGAAACGCGTTCAGAGAGGTCACACATAAGCTGCGCATGCAGACTCAAGTCCAGAAGCTGGGTCTCCTGACGACCACGACTATAGCTACACTCCCTGTCTTGTCCACCTCTGTGCACTACAGCCGGGGGCTCTGGAAGCTCGGGGTGTTCCATTCCCATCCCTATATGGGTTTGGCAAGCACAGATCTAACAAACATATGTATTATTATTTTAAATGTATATCCATCTCTCAAAAAAAGTTGCTTTGACTAAAGCTAGAACTGCCATGTTGGTCTTTGAAAGATGCAGTGGTATTCCCCACCAAAAGAAGTCAGAGGGGGATACTGTGACAGATCTATGAGTAAGCATGGTGTGGTCAGGGAATGGCGAGAACATGCTGTGAACCCAGAAAGGAGGACCCTTCACACCCTCCTGACCAAGCACTTCTCCTGCTGTTTTTCAGCTGGTGGGTGAGTTATCCATACCTGCCCAGTGTCACCCTCACTCAACAGTAAGTTCTCTAGGGACAGACCCAGAACTTTAGCATCACCATCGCCACCCCCACCCACCATCCCCAAGCCTCCATAAATATGGGAACACATAAGCACCGCTCCGCACTTAGGGCTTTATGTGGAGCAAACAGGGAGCACCACAGAAGGCTTTCCAGCGGAGGAGGAATGTGCTCTGAGCCTTGTCTGGAGAATTAGCCAGTGCAGATTTGGAGATGAGCTATAGAGCTGGGGCAGGGGGAGGGGGCAGGTGCTGGGCAGGCAGGGCATGAACCAGACAGCAGCAGGCGCAGGGATGGGAAGAATGGGGTGGATTCTGAAGCAATTTCAGAGAGAGACTAGACATGACTTGGCAACTAATTGGATTAGGCAAGAGATGGAGGGGGAGTGAAGAAAGCCAAGTGTTCTGAATGACTCAGGGTTCTAGCCTGCACACGATGAAGGAGGCACAGCCATCAACTAAGGCAGAGCAGGACAGGGAGAAAGCTTGTGTAAGGCATTGGGCTGGTCCCAGGGTCACTGAGTTGCAAGTTAAGAGCTGAAGTTGAAGAAATGAGAGCCAGATCTTTGCCTACATGTTCTGCTGCCAACCCGGTCCAGACATTTGCTAACAGCATTTTAGCCTCATAAACAGAAAACCGGGGCGGAGGGCAAAAGACAAGAGTTCAGTAGCATGGTTTCTAGAGCATCACAGGAAAACTAACTCTAGGTCTTAGCTGATGGAAACAAGCTATATTTGGGATTTTTCGGGGTTGGGGGACATAATTAACAAGGCTCTGTGAGGTGCTTTAAGTTCACTTGGCTGTCACTGGTTCCTTGATCCTGAGAGCTAAATGCTCACCCCCATTTCAGAGATGAGAAAATGAAGATGCCCAGAGTTTAATATACTTTAGACCATGCAGCTAAAATGGGAAACTGATTCAAAATAGGCCCTGCACATATGAGTGCCGAGCAAGGGCCTGTGCCAGGAGCTGAGCTGAACACCTGTCAGGTACGACGGCTTCCGCAGTGTACACAGAGGGAGGGAAAGGCCGGAGACGATCGCTCAGCATCCGGAGCAGTCTCAGAAAATCACATCCTTCTTTCACTGCAGCATCTAGCCCCCAATTTGTTCAGTTCAACCTCCAAGTCTCTATCTGCACTCCTGCAGGTGACAGACAGTGCAGCTCCTCCCAATTCAGAAATTCCTGCATCCTCTCTTAGTCCCAAGGGCTCATTTTTCTACCTCCTAGCCCAAGCGAGGCTCCAAGGTACCAAAGAGGGTCCAGACTGACTTCTGATGAGGAAGGGAGGAGATTGCATTGCAAAGGCAAGCCTGCTCAGAGCTACCTTTCAAGTGCCTGATGGAAGAGGCGAGAACCCAAGCTAAGGGGTTAAACAGCCACAGGAAGACAGAAGGAAGGGTCTGGACAATCACCAGCAGAGCCTTCTAAAATATTTAAAGGACAGAAACAGGCAACCAACGAAGAGTGAGCTGAGAACTGTCCCAAGACTTTAATTACCACCTCCGTGCTGACACTCCAAAAACCTTTCTTTCCAGCGTCATCTCCCCTGAGCCGCAGACCCACATACCCAACAGCTTCCTGACCTTCCCTCCCACCTTATCCATCTCTTTGTTCCCATCTCCTAGTGCTTCCTGCCACCCGGTCATCTAAATCAAAGCCTTAGTGCCCTCCCGGGTACTTTCCTTCCTCCCGCTGTCACCTCAATTAAACACCATGTTCCCTCAACTCTTCCTGCCAACAGCCTGCCACACCAGCCTTTACCAGGTCATTGTCCTCTTTCGGAGAGAGGATTTCAATAACTTTGAAACTGGCCACCTTGCCCCCACCTCTCCAGCTTCAATGTCTCCTCTCAAGACCCATAGTTAGAGCTCTGCAGGACAAACGTAACAAGAGAAGACCAGACCCTCAACAAGCCCCTCACCAGCTCCCCTGGTACTGGTTCCTCAGTACTCTTAGGAGGAAACCAGACCCCTCAAAATGACACACAAGACCCTATGGGATCTGGCCCTTCTTACACTTCTGGTCTCGTTTTCTTGCCTCCTGGTTCCTCATCATTAAAACCAGACTAATCTTAAAATTGCCCCCAAATATTGGACTTTCTTCTTCTTTAATAAAGCTCTCAGATACTTATGCTACAAAGCAGCTGCTAAGAGCAATGTACCATGGAAGGTACTACCCTACTTCCTTTCTGGTCTTTGTGAAGTTATTTCCTTAGCTGGAATATAAACTTTTTTCTTCCCCTATCTTACTCCTACCGGTGATTCCTCCTGCTGAACCCCACTGGGCTGGTCCCCCTGCACTATCCCAAGGCCTTTTGTCCACTCCCACTTCACACAATCTACATATTTGCATTCCGCTCCCACTACAGTATCTACTACATACCACACTTGACATTAATATTCTCATTGCGCCCTCACAGTGAGTCTGCCGTAGGTACTGCTATGACCCCATTCTAAATAATGGGAAACTGAGCTTCAGGTCTTCACAAGCAATTTCTGTAAGCAAGCGGCAGAGCAGGGAAGTGAAAACCAACTTCTCTGGGCTTGGAGACCAAGCTCTTGAGCACTGAGCTCCATCAAGCAGGCTCCCCCGCTGAACCAAAGGGCACTTGACTTTTACTACTGCACAGCCCAGGCGACGCCTGAGTACCCTGGGCCAGAGGCAGTGGACAGTTATAGGCACCGTGCCTGCCATGGACGGCTGGGAGCCTCCGGAACTAGGCAGTGGGTGGGAGGCAGGAAGCATTGCCTGAGCTTTTGCCTGACTTCAAACAACCAGCGCTCCTTCCTCAGAACACCTGGGATGAGGAGGCAGCCAACTGCGAGGTGGGGATGGAAAGCACCACTGCTGCCTCTATTCCAGACACTGTCTCCTAGTGGTCCTTTGCAGTACTCTGCCCCGAGCGTGAGCCCAGGCAGTGTGGCAAAGTAACCACACACTGCCAGGTCCTATGCACCAGTGACGTGCAGGGCTCCCATGCACTTTGCTGCACCCCATCCTCCTTACACCCTTTCCACAGGTGCTAGTCCCCGCTTTCTATGGTAAGGAAATTAAGGCCCAGAGCCCTTAAATGGTCTATCCGAGAGCGTATAAGACTTATTAAGTGAGTAGTGTTGGGATTCTAGCCCGATTCAGTCTGTCATTGCTTCTAGAGTGTATACAAACCACCCCCAGAGCTTACTAAGATGGTGACTACTGGGGCTTGGAGGATGGCTCCATCAGCACTGTATTTACCATGCGAGCATGAGGACCTACTTGCATGGATCCCCAGTATCTAAGTAAAAAAGCCAGGTATGGCAAAGCATGCCTGGGGAGGCAGAGACAAAGAGGATCCCTGGAGCTCAGTGAGTTCCTGGCTCAGTGAAAGACTGTCTCAAAAAATACATTGGAAGGCAACTGGGCAGCTACTATGTCAACCTTTGGCTTCTAGATTCTCAGTGTCCACACACACTGAGGCAGCTCCAGAGGAGGAGTAATCGTTTGGTGGGCTTTCTTGGGGATGGAGGTGGGGGTGGGGGTGGAGTCTGGACAGCCGCAGCTCCAAGGGAGGGGGCATGGAATGGAGCTTCCAACTGAACATTCCAGACTCTTTGGATCTATGGATACCAGGGACTGGGGTGAGGCTTCCATTCAAACAGTGGGAATCTGTGCCAGAGCAAGTCTTAGGTGGGATCCAAGTCTGTTCTTTAAGTGAGCTCTCGGGTAATTCTGATACAAACCAGCCACTAAAAAAACAAACAAAACAAAACAAAAAAAACCCAAATGTACTATGGCAACGCTTTCCCAAACTGAACTCCTCCAGAATACCAGAATGTCACACACACACACACACACACACACACACACACACACACACACACACAAAAGACCAGACATAAGACAAACTAATGTGGAGGGGTGCTCCATGGTTGAGTAATGTTTCAAAGAAATATTACATATTTTATGACTTTCTGGCAGACTTAATGAATATTATCAAGCTGTATCTAACACAGTATTTCCCAGACTTGCTTCCCCACAGAATCCTCCCCTACTGACAGCACCCATTAAAGCCTCAGAAAACCCAGCGAGTGGAATGGAGTCAGGGAAACACTGCTCTGTTCTAACCTCAGCCCACACTGGCTCTCTGCTCGCTTCTGCTAAGTACACAGTAAACAGAGTTCCCAGCTCTAATCATGGCCTCAGGCTCTCCTGCTGTGTGGGACCTTCAGGCTTCTCTGGGTTCATTTCTCAGCTATAAATCAAAACAGGAAGCCCTGTGTGCCTACAGGGTCTTCACATGAGCATAACAGAGGCCCAACTGCTGTGTAGGGGCCAGCAAGATGATGACTCAGTGGCTGAAGGTGTTTGCTGGCAGGTCCAAGGAGTTTGATCCCCAAGACCCACGATAGGAGCGAAAGCAATTCCTGGACATGTGCAAGTCTGGTCTCCCCTCTCTTTCTCCAATTCCTGTGCAAACCTAGTCTCTCCTCTCTCTCTCTCTCTCTCTCTCTCTCTCTCTCTCTCTCTCTTTCTCTGTGTGTGTCTGTGTGTGTGTCTGTGTGTGTGTGTGTGTCTCTCTCTGTCCCTCTCTCTCATAAATGTAACAAATGTTGTATTAATGTACAGGGCTGCACATCTTTTGGCCTCTGACTATGGTCAATCAAGGCTTGTTAATATCCCATTTGATTTTGTTTCTTACTTTTCTTGCATGAGATTAATCTCTCAAATTACTCTGTGATCAGGGCAACTCGGGACCCTTCACTGGGATTGTTTTGTACAATGTGAAGTGGGGGGGGGGGCTACTTTGAAAAATCCTACAAAATAATGTTACACTTGACTGTATAGCATATGTGCTGCAAGAATCACATCGTTTTTCCTACTAACTCTGTGAGGGGTGCGACAACTTATTCGACATATTTTATGAGGAAACTGGCTCAGAAAAACGCCTTAACTAATACGGCCAGGACATGACTCTCCTTTTGACTCACTTCTCCACTCTGGCACCTAACAGATTTCTGGTCACAAAAATGATACTGCCATGTTCCTGGCTGGTTCGAGACAGGCTAGCAAGTGAGGAAGACGCATTGGCAGACAATCCAGGTTCTGACCTTGGCCACACCTCCTAACTACTTGGTGACCAGATAAACTCCGAGTCTTCTCTGGGTTTCAGTTTTCCTACACGTGAAATGACGCTGGACTATCGTGAGTGGTGTAAGCATCTCACTTCTGGCACCTCCTACCACTGATTGTCCTGATTAGTCTGTCGCAGTACGTGCTAGGTGAGTCGGAAACCTGTTTTTTTATCCCACGCCCTCACTGACAGGGAGAGAACCACAGCTCTGGACGCCTCGTCAACACAGAGGACCCCGCCCCAAAGGAGACCAGAGGAGTGTGTCCTGATCAGATCCAGCCCAGATCTATCCAGTCCAAAACCCCCAAAACCTGGCGTACGCGACGTCAGAGGAGACGCGACATACAAAAAAAAACCTCTCGAGTGGTCCTCAGTGACGTAAGAGAGCGCGACAGACTGGCCCTCTTTGTTTCTCGCTCACGCAAGACCTTACTAAGGCGAACCTCTGCGTGGAAAGGGCGCGGATAAAGTGGGAAGAAAGAGCTGAGGATGAAGAGCGGCCCCGGGCCTCTAGACAGAGCCCAGACATTGATGCAGGGGCCGCTACAACTCACCTGCCCGTACGGATAGCTGGCCATGGCGACTATGACGCCATACAGTTGTGGAAGGCGGGGCTTCCTGCTTCATGGGGGGCGGGTACGCGTCTTATTGGACAGACAGACTGTCCATCTTACGGCGGACAAACGGAAGTGACTCTTGGGACAGTGGGCGGGTACCTAGCAGACCGACTGAGAGAGCGGGGCGTCTGGTTGCCGTGTCCGGAAGTGTTGGTGGCTGTAGTGGCGCGTTTGTTGTTGATTTGGTGACCTGGAGCAGCCTTCGGGGCTGGTTAGACCAGGCTTTTCTAATGGGGAGACTAAGTCGGTTGTTTTCGCGGTGGCCATATTATAACCTGGCAAATCGGTCGCGTGTTAGTTACGTCACTTTCTGAGATCACTTTATTTTTACGACCAAGCCGTTGCTATGGCTGCTGGGAACTAACCCCCTCCTGGAATACAGGTACCATTTAGTGCTTGGATGCTAAACCGGTTTTTGGACCGTGGAGAAAGGTCAACTTGCCAGAGATGAAGAAAAATTAAGATGATTTGGCACTTCTTCATAAATGGGGAAACTGAAATCCAGAAAGGCTTGTTTTCCTAAATTCACAGTGAGTTCGTAATAAAATATGGAATAGGATTAATGCCGATGAATAGCTAGGTCTCAGCAAGAAGGTCTGTCTCCCTTTGTAGGTCAAATCCCAGGTCCTAAGTGATCCATCATCATGTACTTATCTTTTGGGTTTAGGTCCTACACTTGCTTATTTGATGAAATTTCCACGTGGCCAGGCAAGGTGGCGCATACCTTTAGTCTCAGCACTCAGCAGGCAGAAGTAAGCATATCCACATAGAGAGTTCCAGGCCAGCCAAAGCTACATAGGGAGTCCCTGTCTCAAAAAAACTCTCATGTGGACAAGGATTGTGTCTGCTTTGCTGGTAATTGTATCTCCATAGTGCCAGTGTTATACTTTTCACTAAACAAAGAGCTATGAGCTGTTATCCAGCCAGGCCCTTTCCAAACTCCCAGTGCTGATTTTGGTGCTGACCACAGGACAGTCTGCAGTTCCCATCCCTCATCCATACCTGCAAAGGAAGACAAACCCTTTGTTCTGATGCTCTCGGCTCCTAATGATCTGGCCCAGCTGTCCCCAGTCGGTGTCCCACTCTCTTTGCTCCTTCTCCACCTTCAACATGCTTTAGTGAGCGGATCTTGTTTTCTGTTTTAAAAATCAGTTTCTAGCTGTATGGTCTGCTTTCTCAAATGTCTGTTAAAACAATGTTAACTTAAGCCCGGCGGTGGTGGCGCATGCCTTTAATTCCAGCACTTGGGAGGCAGAGGCAGGCAGATCTCTGTGAGTTCGAGGCCAGCCTGGTCTACAAGAGCTAGTGTCAGGACAGGAACTAAAAAGCTATGGAGAAACCCTGTCTTGAAAATCAAAAAAAAAAAAAAAAAAAACAAAACAAAAAAAAAAAACAATGTTAACTTGAAAGGGAATTTATTACAGCCTCTCATGCGCAGGCTAGGGACACCTTGCTCATTCATAAAAAGACCCATGGCCCTTTCCCTTCAGTCTGTCAGTCCCATCCTCCATTTAACCTCCCTCGTAGCCCCCAACTCATTAGCCACTCCTCTTAGTCTCCCTTTGGACCTAGCATGGCTGTTGTGTCAAAGTCTAGCCTGGATAAGAATTCTCTGATCATTTCCACCAAACTCATCCATTCTAACTCAAAAATCTGCAGTTGCTCAGGCCAAAGACCCAGGATCATTCTTGTGTCTTCACACACTCACGCACCTTCATTTGTTTTTTTTTTTTTTTGTTGTTGTTGTTAAAAATTATATCACATCTGTTTTTTTTTCTCCATATTCCACCTATCACTGGTCCAAGACCCCTCTCTAGTCTGGCCTCTCCACCAATGTCTTTTTATTTGGCTCCAACACTCCCTTCTCCACTGAGAAGTCAGAGGAAGCACCTTAAAATGTGAATTAGGCTGGGTGGTGGTGATACACACCTTTAGTCCCAGCACTCGGGAGGCAGAGGGTCTTTGAGTTCAAGGCCAGCCTGGTCTACAGAGTGAGTTCCAGGATAGCCTGGGCTACACAGAGAAACCCTGCCTTGAAGAACAAAACGAAACAAAAGGTGAATTCAATATTGTCATTCTCTAAACTCCTCTGAGGGTTTCCCATCACTCTTATAATAAAATCTAAACTCATCCTTGTGATTTTATGATCCTATAAGAACTAGACCCAGCCTGTGACACCAGCCTCATTGATGTCATTACTGTCCTCCTCAGTTCATCGCAGCTCTGCTGGCCCTGTCACCACCCTGAAACCAATGGAGCTCAATCTTCTCCAGATCTTTGGATCTGCTCCTCTCTTCCTTTAAAAGCGTTCTCCCCTTAACTTTCCACATTTTCCTTTCTTGTCTCATTCAGGTCCCAGCTGAAATACGACATTGTGGGTGGGTGGCATCCGTGAAACCACATTTAAGATACCTTGCCTTCCAAGCACACTCCAGTCATCAGAAGTATCACTGTATCTC